ATAGGAATTATAGGAGGTTATCCTTTAAAATACAGGATAACTATAGGAATTTTGAGGAACTGAGCAGAACCTATGCACACATACCACCTCCTACATATATATAGCCTCCTACGTACGCCTACATACGCGTGCACGGTGGCGCCCTCACCTGGATGACGAGGAGAACGGAGACGGCAACGACGACGCCGATCGCGAGGCCGGCAGCGAACATCGACATTAGGAACGTCGTGAATGTCAGCTGTACCAGTGGCTCCCCCCAGTGGTAGAAGACGTAGTACGACTGCAAGAATTCAGCGTGATGTTTATTATCAATGTACGGGGGGCGTGCTGTAATCACTGTTCATATATACAGGCATGCACACGCACACACACACACACACACACACACACACACACACACACACACACACACACACACACCCCCCCACACACACACACACACTATACACACGCACGCACGCACGCACACACACACATATTATATATATATAACATTATGCGCACGCACGAAAGAAACAACGAACGAACGCCGCGCGCGTGCGCACAGCCATCTCTCCTATAGTTAAGACGCCCAATCACAGCACATGCGCAGCGCAAACAATAAACTACATGACGAAAGTCGCCACAAGAACTTTCCTCGCAGCATAAATCGATAAAACAGCACAAACCGATTTAACATTCGATCTATCTGTACACGAGCGCAAACAAACACACAGACGTCACTTGATAACACAATGCGAATAAACACCGATCAACTACAAGCGCAAATATAAACTACAGCAGTCAGATCGCAGCAGCTGGTTGCGACTGTCTGTCTCATACGTATATGCATATATGCAGACGACTACACGCACGCCACGTATGTGACAATCATTCGGAAACCCATGCAGCTGTTTCATGCTAACTATACGCACACACACGGGCAGCAGACACGTGCAAGAGTTACCTTGGCGATAACTTCCCGCCTCGACCTTTCGTCCCCAACTCTCTGGAATAATAGTACATTTCCTGCATTGCCACGGCATACTCATATATATTATTTCAAATTCGGTCAGCTTTCTTCTGGCTCGATAGGCACATTCACACACACGCGCACGCACGCACGCGCACGCCCACTCGACGTCGATCTCGCGGACTGCCGAGCAGGTGGCGCCCTCTCGCCCGCCGCGCACGAAGAAGCACCGCCCACCGCCGCTCGACCTCAAGCGTCGGCTCGGCGACCGAGACAACCCGTTCGCGACAACGGGCGCCTCCCCACTGCGCGCCGACGACCTCGACACACACACACACACACACACACACACACATATATATATATATATATATGGACCCATGAGACGATGGTGGTCATTACTTATTTCTGTTCTCGCGCAGTAGCCCGGTTACCTTGGATAGGATGGACTGATGGCGCTTAACCTTGCTGCCCTTGGTCACCATCTGTCCTCTAGGTGGCGACACCGACACCGGACTGCTGCTGCCGCGGTCCCTGTACTGCAGCTGTACTTCACAGACGTGCTGTGTTTGCGTGCCCCCGGGTGATAGACGCTCCTTGGTCTGGTAACTCTGTGGATTTCAAAAGGATTCAAGTTCTCTTAACGGATTTCATCAATTTATCGTCATTCCTATCGTCACAAAGTTCATATCGTATTTCTACTGTTACCTTCTGTAAGTTCTTTTTATAAATGCGCTGTGACAGCGTATTATGGTCTCGCTTTATTAGGAATTCAAGCTACATTATATCAGAAGTAGATAATAGGGTCTACTCCTGATTATATTGGTGCTTCAATAATTTTGCATGGTCACGTGGCGCCATCTGTTGGTAAACAAACATACCTCTCCTTCCACGCGTTTCGTGCCTGCGGGGCTCTTCAGTCGCGTCGTGTGAATCACATTCATCGACGTCTGCTCGGAACCAGCGGGAGTTATCCTGTATTTTGACAATATCGTGTCGCGCTCCAGACAGCTGGAGCCGCTATTTGTCATCTTCTGCGACAGCATCATGGTCCGCTGCTGCATCACCTGCGAACCTCCAGGTGTCACAACTGTGTTGATCCGTGACGTC